GCCATGGAGGCCGCCCTCTTCAACCTGGCTGCGCAGGGCGACGCCGTGCTGGTGTCCGTCAACGGCATCTGGGGCGAGCGCGCAGCCAACATTGCCGGGAGATTGGGTATGCCGGGGGGCAGCCGGGCTGCAAACCACACCAGTGAGGCTCAGGGTTTAACCAGCTGCTTGCGGGCTAGGACACCCTCGCCCAGGAGATCCTGCCCGCTGTCCCCATCCTGGGCTGCTGTGGCTGGAGACACTGCACTGGGGACAGGAGAAAGTCCTGGGTGAAGCCCTCTGCTTATGGTGGTTTATGGTTTTTCCACTGGGCAAATGCCCAGGAGGCCGGACTCTGGCCAGTGGCTCTGCTCCTGGTTAATACGTGACTTATTCCTCTGTGGAGCAGGAGGAAGGGCCGAGCCTGACTCTCACTCTGCCCAAATCCCTTCCAGGAGCTGACGTTCATAAGGTGCTGAAGCCCCCGGGCGAGTACTTCACCCTGCGGGACATTGAGGAAGTGAGTGCCGGACGCAGGCGGTGGGCTCCCTCCTAGCCCTCCAGCCCCGGGGCTGAGCGATTCATCTCTCTCTCTCTTTCCATGCAGGGCCTGGTGCGGCACAAGCCCTCGCTGCTCTTCATCACCCACGGCGAGTCCTCCACGGGCGTCCTGCAGCCACTGGAGGGGCTGGGGGAGCTGTGCCACCGGTCAGTGAGCAATGGGTGCCCGTGGGACCCCGAGGTGGCAGCCCATGCCCAGTTGGCTGTCCGGGACTGGGGGGCGGGGATTGATTCATGACGTGTGACCTTGGGGGGCTGCGACACTCAAGGTTGGAGGAAAAGGGGAGGGAGGAAGGGCGTGAGGGCAGGAGGAGGTGGCAAGAGGCCAGGGCTGAGCTCTGTCCTCCCCCAGGCACGGCTGCCTGCTGCTTGTGGACGCGGTGGCATCGCTCGGGGGGGCACCTATCCTCATGGACCAGCAGGGTAAGAGCTGTGGGTGCTGTCGGGGGCACCCGGATGGACAAGAGGGTCCCACATGCCAGAGGTTCACACCGGGGCCTGGAGGGGGAGATAGAAACAGGATCAGCTCCATCACCTGTCAGTTCACGCCAGTGACACTAGAAACTGGTCCAGCTGTGGCCAGACACCCTGTGGCCACCTCCACCTCTCGGTGAGGACTACCAGAGGTGCCAAGGTGTCCCTCAGAGCAGGCCAAACACAACCAGGACCCCACAGCACCTGTGATCCACTCAGTGCTCCCCACACACCATTCACAGCAGGACAAACGTGAGCGAGACCTGGGGCAACACGTTTCCCGCCAGGGAGCCCCCGGGTCTCTGAGGAGCTTTCTCTCCTCTTGTGCAGAGATTGACGTCTTGTACTCGGGGTCTCAGAAGGTCCTCAGCGCCCCCCCTGGCAGTTCCCCCATCTCGTTCAGCGAGCGAGCCAGGTAAGGACAGTCCTGTCCTCTCTGTGGGCAGCAGCCATGGGGAGAGGGGATGGGGCAGGCCGTAACCCCTCTCCTTTGCTGTCCATCTGGTCCAGCCCTGCCAAGGAGAGTGCTCCCAGCACCAGGTCTGCTGGGGCCAGAGCCAGGCCCTGTGCCGGCTAGCACCCCCCCAGCAGCGATGCTGGCCCTGGGGCTGGTACCGAGAGCTCCGCGAGAACCGCTCCCTGCTCCACACTGGCCCTGGCCCTGGAGCTGCCCGTGGGCCTGGAGCTCCCCTGGTGCTCTCCTTGGGGAGGCTGTGGCACAAGGCAGACCCCCAGCCTGGAGCTGATGAGGGGATGGGGTGATCCCTGCTGGGGGTCCCCAGAGTCCAGCTCAGGCCCTGTGCTCTGCTTCACCAGGGAGAAGATGCTGAGGAGGAAGACGAAGCCTCCCTCCTTCTACCTAGACATGGGCTGGCTGGCAAACTACTGGGGCTGTGACGGCAAGCCGCGAACGTGAGGAGAGGCTGTCCTGGGACAGATGGCCACGGGCATCCCAACACGGGTTGCTTCCCTTTGCCCAAAGCTCCTCCCAGCTTGCAGCACCCCCCCACCCTGAAAGAGCCCTTTCCTCCCAACCCAGGCACCCAGCATGGGTCCCCTCCCCAGCACAGCCTTTCGCCCAGCTGGCCGGTCACCTGTCCTGCAGGGATCTGTCACGCCGGCTCCTCCACGCAGGGCTCTGCCACCTCTCCCCATCAGCCCCATCCTCCTCACGGGCTGCCCTGGGTGCTTCGCTTCCCCTTGGTGCTGGGTGCGGTGGAGGCAGCAGAGCTTGGCTGCACCTCGGCCCACGCCACAAGCTGGAAGTGCCACTGCACAACGTGCCGGGGACGAGCCTGCCAGCGTGCCGCTTCGGTTTTGCAGGTACCACCACACGGCACCGATCAACAGCTTCTTCAGCCTGCGGGAGGGCTTGGCGATGCTGGCTGAGCAGGTGAGCAGCACTGGAGCCGGGTGTGGGGAGAGGGAGAGGACAGAGTTTGGTGAAAGAACGGGCACCACGAGGTCTTTAGCAGTGGTGGTGACCTTCTCTCTCTTTTATGGCCACCCTGGCACAGGGTCTGGAAAGCTCATGGGAGCGCCACCGGACCAACTGCACCTACCTATGCCAAGGGCTGCAGGACCTGGGGCTAGATCTCTTTGTGAAGGAAGAGGTAGGCTTGGAGCTAAGCCTGTCCCACTGGGTCTGGGTGGCCTGAGGGCACAGCGTCGTTCCCCTACCACAGACCTGATCCTGGGGGATTAGGAAGTGGCCAGAAGCTGCAGCTTTGACCTTATTTCTTCCGCAGAAGGCAAGACTTCCTACCGTCACCACCGTCAGAGTGCCTGGGGGCTACGACTGGAAGGAGATCACGTCCTTTGTCATGAACAAACACGCCATCGAGATCGCCGGGGGCCTGGGCCCCTCAGCAGGCAAGGTGGGCAGGGTGCACTTCTCCAAATTCGCCTGTGGCCCGGCAGCTTGCCGAGCCTGTGGCCTCCCGGCAGACACTGAGCCCAGATGCTGCACTCCCAGTGACAGGCTGCATCCATCAGTAGTGCGCTCCGAGATTAACTGATGCTCCTTGGATGCTAGCCACATACACCTAATATATGGTCATATCCAATTGCCTGCAGCAATGCCTATCGGTTCCTAACCCTACAGAATTGCTGCATGTAATTGAATAACTACTGCACACATAATTAGTGGGGTGAGATGTCTTTATCATCGCTGAGAGGAAACGCACATTAAATAAGAATGAACAGGAGGAGGTGCACATGCATGCACACGCGCACGCGTGCACGGCTGCTCCCTTGCATGCCCCTCGCTCTGCACCATGGCTGGAGGGAGCCTTGGCTCTGCTGCCAGCAGCTCTGCTCCGCAGAGGGGAGACGCGGGACCAGGGCACAGCACTGAAGGGCTGTGCTGCAGTGAGAAACCCATCTGTCTCCTACCAGGTTCTTCGAATTGGCCTCATGGGCTATAACTCAACCAGAGCCAACGTGGACCAGGTGCTCCGTGCCCTGCGAGATGCCCTCCGGCACTGTCACCAGAGCAGGCTGTGAGCGCCTCGTGCCGCGGCTGCAGACGGGCTCTGGCCAAGGTGTCGCTCCCTCCGCTCCCATCTTCGGGCTGTGGGTGGGCAGAGGGGCTCCTCTGGCTCCCCAGGGACCCGGCAGCAAATGCTGCAGCAGCTGGTAGCCAAAAAGGAGTGGTACAGACTGAAGGGGAAGGAGAAGCTGGTGGCAAAGGCTGGATCTGCAAGTGGAGGCGAGGGCCGTGGCTTGACAGCTGGACAGCCAGGGCTGGGTGGGACCTGCAGCCCCAGGGCTGCGAGGGAAGAAGGCCCCAGTGCCGTCGGCTGCACGGGCTCACAATGTCTCCGGCATTGCAACGCAAGGCACTGGGCCTGCGTGCGTGGGTGGAGGGGGTGGGCAGCACAGGGGACCCCGAGCCCGCACCCGCTCTGCCCGGAGAGCCACCCTGCGGGGTGAAGCCCAGGAGAGCAGGGTCAGTAGGACAGTGCGCAGGTGTGCGGGCTGTGGTTACATGGTTACATATCCTTCTCCCTGTCCCTCTTGCAGGGTTGCTCCTCACGCCCAACGTCCTGCCCCTCTCACCTTCTCCATTCCCCTTTGCCCCAGGGCACGACAGCCCCACTGCAAGCTGACTCGCAGGCCGGAGGCAGGATCCAACTCCAGGTCCCTTCCCCTCCTGTCTCTTCTATCACCATCACCCTCGGCTGGTCCTTTCCTAAAGCCTAGCAGTGCAGAACAGCCATATTGTCAGCTGTGATGTGAAACACCCTTTCCAGAGGCTCTAACTGGGGGACCTGACAGACCACGCACCCACTCCCAGCTGCAACTAACATGTGCTCATTCCCTGCTACCATCTTTCCTGAATAAAATGACATAGTACCATGTGGCTCCCTGCCCCCTGTAGCTTGCTTGGGCTCTCCAATTTTCAAGACGAAAGGTGCAGTCAAAAGAAACACCACAAGGGCACATCCTCGCCCAGCGCAGGGGAGAGTGCAGCTTGAGAGCCTTCTACAGGAAGGAGGCAGAGAGCTGGGTCAGTCTCTCCGGTTGTTAAAGGAGAGAAAGGTTTCTTGTCTGTGTCCTTTCCTCTTCTGGCTGATTTCCCTTCTCCCTGCAGGGAGCTCAGGGTGCTGGCAGAGAAGGGCCTACACAGTGGGGAAGGCAAATGGGGTTACACTCAGATGGGCTGGTGGCGGGGCCCTGCTCAGCTCTGCACCGGCACTTCTCTCCGGACTTTGGACAGGAGCTGGGACATAGCCAAGCGGCGCGCGCAGTCCTGGATCCGGTACACCTGGAACTGAGAGGACACGTGGGGAGTGAGGGGAGAAGGTTTCCTGCTCTGCTCAAGCCCAGCACGTTCCAGGTGACCGCAGCGCCACACTGAGACTCTCTGCAGCTCCTCCAGCCTCCCACAGCTGCCAAACACCATGGTGGGCTGGGCAGCACAAGCCAGGCATGGCCAAGGGCAGGGGAAGCAAAATTTGCTTGGAAGCAAATTCCGGCACACCCTAAACTGCCCAACCAAGCAGGTTTCTGGCACTGCCAGGCACCGCCTCATGTTGGCAAGACCAGTCAAGCAGAGCCACTGGGGTCTGTGGTATCCCCTCCCAGTTACCTGGCTGAGCAGGATGTCGAAATAGGCTGTGTCCCAGTAGGCCCTGTCCTTGGCCGGGAGCTGCAGGAGGGCTTTTATGCCAGGGTCCGCCTGCAGGCCATCGGTGTACACAGGGAGGCTGAAGTGAAAGCGGAGGAAGCGACAGGGGTCCCGGGCGAAGCTCTCCACTTTGCAGTACAGCGAGCTGAGGTCCAGCGGCTCTCCTTGGAAGAGGTTCTCCTCTGGGTGCAGGAAGTGGGGTAAGCGCTGGGTGGCCAAGCAGCAGAGGAGGATCACCAAAAGCCTGTAGACCGAGCCCTCCAGGTCCTGCCAGTCCTCCTGCGAGGGAAACAGCTCGGTGCTCCACAGCAGCACCATCTGTGGGGAGTGAGAGAGGCAAGGGGAAGCTGTGGGGTGCAGGGCTGGGCTGCAGTGCCAAGGGGACTTAGGCACTTCCTCCAAAGACTGCACCTCCAAATCCCTTGAGTCGCTGTGCAACCATCCCCACATGCATGGAGCTGAGCTCTCAACATAGATATCACATCTGGCTGTCCTCAGCATCCCAGTGACATGGCAGGACTGTACAGTCTCTCTGAGCTGCTGCTTCAGCTGCCTGCAGACTCAGGCTGATGTCCCTGCGTTCCCTAGTCTCTGTTCATCTTCTGAAGCTTTTCTCCATTCTCCAAAGAGCCTCTGTTTTGCCTCTGAGACAGACAAGAGTCTACGTCCCAGCTATGCAACAGCTCTGAAATGATGCGCACAAGCTTTCCACAGACAAGAAACGACACTAAAGCACAGGGAGTGCTCACGGTTTCCATGTCACATCAGTCATCCACAGTGTATGTGAACCCTCAGCAATTACCACATCAGCTACCTGGACACTGTGCTGAGAAGTGGCCGAATGACTGATACTTTCTGGTGCCAGAGGGTAATGGGAAACACATACAGGTAGCCTGGACCAGGTACGTCCCTGCTGGCCCAGGGAGGTCTGTTTGTCCAGCCAGGTTTGTCGGAAGGAGGTGCCGCCTCCGTGCTGTGGTCCCAGGGCTATAGCTACCCACATGACCACAGAGAGGTCTTAGTGCTGCTGCCTTTACTTCCTCGCTCAGTTCAAGAGAACTGGTAAAGCTCTGGTCAAGCAGAAAAACGAGGGTGAAACCTGACACATGGTGGTGGGGCAGCCTGCATTTGATCGGAGATCAAAAGAAGATGCTTTTTGAAGGAAAAAGACATATTGTGTTTTTTCTTAGTTGCAGAAAACACAATCTGAAATAAAAACCAGGGCATTTGGGTTTCTATCAGCTAAAGCCATTCTTCTGGCAGAAGACAGCTTTGCCCGCTTCTCCACCCCCACCCCAGCGAGACACCACAAGATAGAGCACTTCTCGATTGTGACACCAGGTGCCACAGAGCCCAGTTCCTGGGTGGAACTGGCCCAGAGCACCAAGAACAGGTTCAGCGGGCAGAGAGGGTTTGTCAGAGAAGGAAATGCCACCCTCAGCCACGCACAGGCACCTCTCGGCATGCCAGGACACAGGACAGCGTGCAGCACAGCAGGCACAGCAATGCCATCCCCAGCACCGTCCCTGCAGACATAAACTGTGCCAGGGGAGCTTTTAACACTCAGGGTCTTTTGTGCTGGAGGTTGCTGGTTCAATTCCCCCAGGTGCTCACTGTCTCCAGAGAAGTGCAACAACTTTAGAGGCAGCAATAAGGGCAGCGTGCACTGGAGAAGGATCAAAGCACTCTAATCATGGCCAGAAACGTGCATCCTTTCAGGACGTAGCCACGGGCTGATATGTTCCAATATACTTAAATTACTCTGGCTTTTTGTTTGGACTCCTCTTCCAGCGGCGACTCAGCCTCAGTGAGGTCCAAGCCTCACCTCCAGCCAGGGAGCAGCTCTGGCTCTGCCTGTGCATTGCACTCAGCTGGGGGAGCTGCACTCCTGCAGGCTCTGGAGAAGAACCTACCTTCAGGTGGTCGAACGTGAGGCCACCTTTTTTGCCCTCCTCCCTCCACTCCTCACAGTTGACCTGGTCAAGCAGACGGAGGCTGTCTAGACGGGGACCCTTCAGAGTGCCCACTGCATGGAGCAGCTTCAGGACAGGAAGGTGAGTGGAGGATCTGTGGAGAGAGAGCGGCCTGGTGAGGGCTGTGCAGGGCAACCCAGACTGGACACCTGGATCTTCCCAGCCAGAGGACAGGGAAAGGATATCTACAGTGACCTGGCACGCTTGGAGACAGAGATCTGGAAGGACTAGGGAAAG